CCCCCCACGGAACCGCCGCCGAAAGCAATTAGCCAGCATCCCGCACCGCCCCCCAGACGCAACCCCCGGCCCAGGGCGAGGATGAGCGGGACAGGCGAGGCACAAAGTCGAAACTCAACTTTTTAAAAACATTTGCGTGTGTGTATGTCTGTGTGGGGGGGAGAATGCGCTGATGCCGAGGGTCCAGCCACCCCCCCTCTGCCTTCTCCTCCCCCTGCTGCCGCTGCCCTCGCACACGCGCGCGCACACACGGCACCGGGGCCGGGTTTCCGCGCACCGTCCCCCGGCTTGGATGGGAGTTTTCGTTTCCGAAGGAGGCAGAACCCGCGGAGCGCGCTGAAGGGCTGGAGCCCCAAGTTACTCTTCGCCAGCGCTGGCCACCGCTGTCACTCACAGGCTGGCAGGGGAAGGGACCCACACGCCTGCCTGGCTTTGTTGTGGAAATCCGGGTTACCTGGTAAGTGGCTACCATAGGAACTTTGCTCGCAGGCGAGAGTCGGGAGAAACCGGCGCTTGAGAGTGCGGGGGAGTTAACGCTCCGAGATACAAACTAGGGATTAGAATTAGTTTTCCACGAGGAGCCAGTGGCGTTTGCGCGGGTTTAAGGATACGCGCACCCCGCCCCCCAAGCCCCAGATTTTCGGAAAGATCTGTTGGCAGCCCTCAATTAGTGATCAAGCCGTGTTGTTGTCAGTTGCCTAAGAGCGCCTGGTGTAGAAGACGGAGAGGAAATCCACAAGGTATTAAAGTTTCTTTAATTAGGAGGAGATTTTGTTTTTGGTTTTTCTTTTGAACAGCAGGGGCCAGAGGGCCACACAATGAAGGCAAGTTACAGGACGCGAGGCTGTGGTCCTGCATGCCACCCAGGAGTCCCCACTGAAGGGAAACTTTGGAGAAGTGAGAGTTGGTGGGGTGACGTGAGGTCCCGCGCGCGCACACACACGGGGCTGAAGCTGCCTTTTCCAGCTCCCACGTGTTTGTGAAGCTCCACCAAGGGCATTTTTTTGCACGCTCGCACCTCGCCCGAGACCAGGTCCCCACTGCTCCAGGAGGCCCTTCGGTTGGGGGTCCTTGAACTTGTCGCTGGGACGGTCCCGCCACCCGCAGCCGCCAGGTCTATAACTATCACCTCCCACGCCGCAGAATGCGCAGACGTACCCAGACGCTCGCACTCCCCGCCGGCTTCGGCTTCGTCACTCCGCGTTTACACTTCTCTGGGGCCGACAGAATGTCAGCACTGTTTGGAGAATGTCTCAGTCTCGGGCACTCTGTCCTGCTCACGGCTCCCGTCCCTGTAAATGACCCTGTGTATATTTTGCAGTCGGTCGGGGCTGCTCTCTGGAAAGCGTGAGTGAGCACCAGGTTCTCCCCTAGACACACACCTTGCCCCGAGCGACACTTCCAAGTTACTCACTGGAGCTGACAAATCACCCCGGGGACGAGGAAGTTGCCCAAGTGTCTGGAAAACTTGGCCCGGACGGATTTGTCATCCTATGGATGATTCAATTAGGTACCTGGAGGGCCACGCTTTGGGAGAAGGTGGTTTCTGGCTTCGCGGGTCGCGCCCTCGACTCGCCGGGGTGTTTGGGAGGAAAGACGCGGAAGGAGACCCGGGGGCTGGGGCACCGGTTCCGTGGGCGCTGCGGCTGGCGGGGCCCGCGGCTGCCCGGGCGTCCCAGCTCGGCCGGGAAGGACAGCGCGCCGGTCCCCGCCGCCCGGGCTCCCCGCCTCGGGCCGGCGGCGGCGCCCTTTCGGCCCGGACTTACTCAGGACTGGGTTGCACAACAGGAAACCAGCGCGAGTTTGTTTTGTTTTGCTGCGCTAGCTCGCGGACTGGGCCGAGGGCTGGGGTCAGAGGCGGCCGGAGAGTGGCGGGGTCGCAGCAGCGCACCCCAGCCGGTCCCTGTCGCCTCCCCGCTCAGACCCGCCCCTCCGCCGGGGGAGCCTGGTGACTCGGGCCTGGGACCTAGGGCGGGAGGGCAGCCGGGGTCAGATGAGCGCTGCTCTCCTCCAGCCCTGCCCCAGGCGCGTCTCCCCGTCCAGTGGGTCCCCAGCACCTCTCCGGATCTCGCAAGTCCTCCTCCCGCCTGGAGAGGCCCCCGCCCCTCTGCTGCGTCTTCCCCACCCCGCGGCTAGGCTTCCCGGGCATCTGGGAGGCCCGGATCCCCCGGAGCATCTGAACTCGGGCCTGGGGCCTGGGGTGGAGGGTACTTCCGGAATCACGGGCAGCAGCATCTGTGGGGACGGGACTCTTGTAACTGCGGGCCCCCTTTGCAGAGAAAAGGGCTTTGCACCGCCTGGTCACGTACTTCCAGAACCTCAGTATCTCCGCGGAGTTTGGGTCGGGCTGGGTGGGGGGAGGGGTGTACCGCAGCTCCCCCCAGCGGACCAGTTCCCTTTGGGAAAAGGACCGGGGACTATCAAGTATAGACGGTGAACGCTGGAAGGGACCTTGGCGATGGATGGGGTCACCTGTGAACGGGGAAACCGAGAGCCAGAGACTCGCAGGGTTTTGTCCAGTTGCTCACAGCCGGTTGGTACCGATGCCGGACACACACTGCAGTTTCCTAGTTTCCAGCGCAGAGAGCGTTTCTTGGCCTGAAGGTGAGCTCCAGACTAATGTGAAGTCTCTGTGTCCCCACTGAAAGCTTTGATGAGTCATGATTTCTGCCTTGGGAGTCAGCCAGACATCCCTTTCCCCCTGTGTCACGTTCTCCATTAGAGCACCCTCTGTTACGCTAAGCTGGGAAGCTTTTTTTCTTTTTTTTTCTTTTGTACAAAATTGACTTGTTTGGTTTAAATCTTCCCATTTCTCCTCTTGTCCCTCCTCGGATTTTACTTCCTTGGTAACGTGTTGAACAAGTGCGTCCTGCGAAGGTTTGCGAAAAGAGAATCTGCTCACAAAGAAGGCTAGGGGGAAGCTTGCAGCCACGTAGAGACCGGAGTGTGTGATGTTATATATCATGTGTTGCAGTTGGGAACTTGCTGAAGTTTAAGGGTCACAGGCGAATGCACTCCAGTTGCCATTAGTCGTCTGTGGCAGCCGGACTAGACCCTACAGTGCCTTTGAGAGGAGTAGGGGACAGTTCTTTCCCAGTTACTTTCCAAAAACACTTTTTCTTACTGGCTGTTGAAGTCGTCATTGTTGCTGGAAGGACTTAACAGTTCTTGAGCCTGAGCACTTAAGTCCCAGTGCTGCTGTCGCTCCCTGTCTTCCTGGTTCACGGTAGGCCAGTTGGGAGAGGGCCTCTTTTCTCTGATGCCTGATTCCACCCAAGTTACTTAAGGGTGGTCGGTTTGTCAGAGACCGAATACCTGAGGTCTGTTGCTGGTTTGCTTGGAAGTGATCTTCGTTCCAAATAAGAAAAGCAACCTTTTTTGAGGGGAGGGGGGCAGGTGGGGTGGACTCCAGTGTTCACCTAGTAGGTGAAATTCCTATTGGGCCAAAATAGGCGGGGTGGGGGAGGTTAGGTAATAGCAAACTAACATTTGTTACCATCCTTGCCTTCATTCATAGGGCAGAAAGGGGTCTTTCCATTGTTTCGAAAGGGAGCTGAGTGTCCTCAGTCTTTTTTTTCCTCTGAGTATTCTTCCTTGGTAGTAAATTAAATCTGAGGACAATCTTTTCACTTTGGTCCCTCGCGTATTGTAGGTAGTGATCTCTGGAGTTGGAATGTTAGTTTGTAATTCTTGCCGAATATAGATGAAGTACCTCTTGAAGAAGATAATTCAGGAAGTGGCATCCAGGCCACACTCGCTTCCCTGGAGAAGTCATTTTCTGTGTTTCTGTAATTATTCTCTGTAGAGGGTATTAGAAAGAAGGTAGAAAGACGGGACTTGACTCCAACTTTTCACTTGTTTGGTTGCTTCACAGGATCCGTTAAGATTGAAAATCAAATTTAAAAATAAACAAGCATGTAGGAAATCTATGCGGTAAAAAAAATGTGCTGCCCTACTCCGTCCTGGAGGATGAAGCGTATGACAGAATCTTTAAATGACTCTAACCTGTCGTTTGATAAAAGATGCCCCAGTTCCAGGTTTTCCATTTACTCCAGGCAGAGTTGACACTAAACCCATTTTTTCTTTATTGGGGTGAAATAAAATATCCATACAGAAAAGCACACGTATCTTAAGCTTGATGAAATTTCATGAGCTAAACACAACTGAGCAACTGGTGTTCAGATCAAGAAATAGAATGTTGTCAACACTCCAGAAACATCTCTCACACTGCCCTCCAGTCACCGTGTTCCCTAGCCACAGCCTTGACTTCTAACAGATATATTAATTTTGCCTGTCTTTAAAAATACCTTATGTAAGTTGGATGATTCAATATGTACTCCTGGGGCTGTCTTCTTTGCTGACATAACAACGTTTTAGTCGGTCAGATAATTTGGATTTCCCTTTAAAGACGGTGGGAACAGGGACGCCTGGGTGGCTCAGGGGCTTCTGACTTCGGCTCAGGTCGCGATCTCATGATCTCTCTCTCTGCCCCTCCCCTGCTCACTCGTGTGCACGCTCTCTCTCTCTCTCTCTCAAAAATAAAATAAAAACATTAAAAAAAATTTTTAAAGATGATGAGAACAGTTGAGATTGCAGAGTTAGTTGGCCAGGCGTCACTTAACAGGATAGAATCAAGGAAAACACTAGCAGAACAGAAGCTGTGTTTTCTGTCCCGATGAGGGCCTGATAGGGAGACCATAGACAGGAGCGAAGCATACAGCACGGAGCCAGTGCGGGGTGAGCAAGGAGAATGCGCCTTGCACCATCCATCTCCAGATGCATTTGACAGTTCCTCTGTGAGGGCCCACCCACCCCCCCCCATCAAAAGGAGTGCCTGGTCTCAGGGCCGAAATTACTGTATTTGTTTCCCAGCTTTTAGCTACGAGTTTTCATTGTTTGTGAGTAATTCCGTGAACCACGTACAATAGCGTAGTTCTAACCGTTTTACAAACAGGTACAGATATTAACAGAGGTTGGGGGAAGGCCTAAAGTGGGTATTTGGGGTGGACCTGGAGGGTACAGAGGATGTGGGTTTGGGGAAAAAGGGGGCAAGAGAAGTGAGGAGGGGAAGGACCACCCACGTGGACTCGAAAGCAGTAAGTAAGAACAGAGACAAGGATCCAATTATGATCCACGTTGGGAACAGGATCAGGGGATTTGTCTGGAAGACTGGAATCGTGAGGGCTGTCCATAGTTGAGTGCAGACCCGAGATGGAGGAAGCCGATGGGGCCCTTCTCGTCCGATCAGATCTCCTCAAGGCCAAGAATGGGAGCAGCCGCACATTCCTTCAGGTGCAGCAAGCCTTGCGGGACTGCAGATGGGCAGGTAGGGCTACAGCACGAGGTCAGACCCCGTGCCAGGGGCCTCGATAGAGCTCAGGCTTTCTGAATATCAGTTATTCCTCAAGTTCCGAGCCAGATCTAAGAAGTTTCCTTTCTAGGCCTGCTGAATACTATACACAGAAAGCTAACCAGATGCCAGGGCTGTGTACAAGTTCTTGTTTTTCTTGTGTGTGAAGAAATGGATTAATGTTTTCCCAACCTTTTCAGCATGACCAGTAGATTCCACTTCTTTCTGTAACTTGACTGAGTCATTCATGTTGGTTTTTTCTTTTTTTCTCTTTTCTTTCTTTGTTTCTTTTTCTTTTTCTTTTTCTTTCTCCTTCCCTTTTTTTTTTTTTTAAATAAATATGTTGTCATGTTGGTTAAGGGACTAGTCATTGTTGCGAATGTTCATACTTCTGCAGTGATGTCAGCGAACATAATTTAACTTGTGTAAAACTTTTGTCTACCAACACTAAAAATAGTTTTATTGGTCACTTTTAAGCAATAACTACACTGAAGGAAAGAAATCGTTCAGTGATACATGGCATGGGGGACACTTTAATATGCTTGAATATTTGGTTTAGTGAGTGATAAATTCAGTTTTACTTCTAGAATCTTCCATAAGTAGATATTTATTACTTTTTTGAAAGGATTGTGATCTTTAGCTGTGTAAATAGCTATTCACACAGACCGAGTAGTCATTTGTCCTCAAAGACTGACAAAGAATGTCTTTTTCATTTGCCAAATTTTACTACCTTTGTATCTTCTTGTATAAAGGTGGAGGTTTGTTTATGTTTTTGTTTTTAAAGAAAAAACTCCAGCCAGTTACTCTTCCTTTATATTTCTGAAGAAGCCTTTGTGTCTCAGACCATGGCCATGTGGTGTTCACCCTTTGCAATTCAGGTAATTAATTCAGTGGTGACATCATAAGGAATGTGTTCATTTTTCCATTTCAAATTCCTCTTCATGGGATCTGATGGTTAACTCCTATTAAGAGCCCGTTTGGAAAAACTCAGTTCTGAAGGGCAGTTATGTGTTAATTTAAACTTGTTCCCCTTTGGCATTGTGAGAATAAAGTTCTATTTCAGGGAAGGTCTTCCCTCTTCTACAATGAAGAAGAACTAAAATTGTGGGTCATTTTGATCCTAATTCTGTTAGTTGGTCGATCTGTTTGATGTTGATCGAATGATATTTAGTGAGTCAAATACACAGTGAAAGATAGCAGTGGTAGGACAGCCTTTTATTATTTAATCCTAATGTTTTACAAAGCCAAAAATGTCAAATTTATAGATCTACTTTATATATATATGTGTACATATATATAATTTATATTAATTAATTAAAATAAA